TATATGAGGAAGGATCCGTTTATTTCAGGAAGTCTACTTAGACTTATTCCGTTCAATAACTCATGTTTTATATGAAATTTCAACGATCTAACCGTTAAATTTAAAATTTTTAATGTATAGATCAAGTCTGTAAATTTTTTTAAAAATTTAAAAATTATTTAATAATTCATTTCATTAATTCAAATTGATGGATAATCGTAAAATCATTTTACATATTGATTTGAATTAATAAAATGAAGTATCAAATAATTTTTAAATTTTTTAAAAATTTGTAAATTTGATCTATGTATTAAGAATTTTAAATTCAACGGTTGGATCGTTGAAATTTGATATAAAATATGAATTATTGAACGAAGCAAGTTTAAATAGACTTACTTTTAGGATAAACAAATCATTTCTCTCTCACTCTCTATATATAAAAGCAGATAGAGATCAAAATTATTTTTATTAGATTTTATGAATATTTTGATCTTATCAAGATGGGGACATATTATAGATCTAGAACTGCTTCCGGCCCTTTTCACCACCTAATTCAACAGGGCAAACACTCACAATCTAAGCCAACAGTGACTAAACTCACTAACCTTTCCATCTTGAAAGAGCTTAATCACATGATTTGAAACAAAAATCCAAATCTCATTTGGATAATTGGATCCATAACCTGAAACTTTGGACAGCTACCTAGAGCAATAACATGGTGGTCATCCAGAACAGGAGAAACAATCAAAAGCTTGGTTCAATATCTATGCCATTAAAATATAGCATTCTTGAATTCTAAAAGTTGGTTGTTGAATCCTCTGTGGGGCACATAGCACATGAATTTCTTTTAAGTCCAATACTTGGCTAGAAATATGTGATTCCCAAGTTTTGGACAATCTAGGGAAAGAGGAGTTAATAATAGTAACAAAGAAACAGAACAAATAAGATGCTGAGAACATTACACATACTTTTCGGTTTCCGAAGTAAATTCTAAATTGATGTGATTACTAATGTAATGTCAGCTAAATACACATAATTTTTCCCAGGAGTTTTATTACTTTCTTAATTTTGAAAGAAAAAGAGAAGGAAAGAAGAGAAAACCGTGATTTAAGAGATGGTGGTTGGGTTTAACAGAAATTCCAATTGGAATAAAGTGAATTTTCAAAGACAGAGAAACTCATCTATGGGTTTACCAAGAATTCTATGACATAAAATGGAGACACACAAGATTGTGCTTAGAAGCTAGAATGGAGGTAGCGTTACACCTGGGATTAAATTCTCAATAGAGCAAGGGGAATCGTTAATCAAACAAACAAGTTAATGTATTATACAAAAATTATAAAAAATTAGTGATACAAAAAGCGTATAGGCAGGTAAATTGAAGAAGTGCGGAATTATAGAAAGTATAATTTAATTAACATACAATAAATGATAATAATTATTAAATTATCCAAATAACTATTAAATAAACAATGACAACAAGTCATTGATTGAGTGATACCATACTTGATCTTCTTAATTTTAAACAAGATTTTAAGTTTGATTTGTGGATAAAAAAAATGTGGTTAAGAAAGTAGACCCTAATAAAAATTACTAATTAAGTTCTTTGATAGACATAATATATCTTTTTAAAAAATTATCCAAATAGAGGTGATATAAATTAGTTCAAATTAATTGAAAAGTTCTAGATAATGATAACTCAAAATAGAGTTGAATAGTAGAAATATATTTCTCTAAACTTGTAAGAATCTAAAAGGAGCATCAAGAAAAGTAGAGCAAAAATAAAGTGGTCACATCAGTATAGTTGGTCTAAAATATTTTTAATAACAACAAATATTTAAAAATTATAAATTAGAATAATTTATTTTTAATACTTGTCTTATAAATATAATTTAATTATGTATGTTAATTTATAATATCTTTATTTTTATAATATATATTATATTAATTTGATACTTTTTATTCTAAATGAAAATAAATTATTATTAATAGATATTGTTATATTTTATTAAAATTTAAAATTAAATATTATATTATATTAAATGTTAAGAATTTATAAATAACATTTTATTTTAGTTTTAGTATTATAAAATTATGATATTATATTTATTTAATATTATTTTTGTATTGATAATAATAGTTATTATTTGATTAATATTGATTTGATTATAATTTAATCATATTTAAACTATTGAATTTTGAACTGATGCATAAATTGGTTTAATTATATCCGATTTTGAAAAATATATTATAAACACTCAATAGACATGAAATTTTTTTAACATGGTTGCTATTTGAAAATGGTTGCCTCGTAGGAATGTGAAAATACACAATGATTTTTCCTCTTTTCTTTTCTTACTTTATTTGCCAGTGTTTTCTCTCTCAATAATGGGTCTCTGTCAATCCTAATGCCTGATCTTCTCCCTTTCTATTCGGTTAAGTGTTATACATTTGGACCTATTCTCTGTATAATTAGAGAGCCAAAAACCCAACACTTTTACGGTTTGAAGAAAAAGTGGAGAGAATATATTCTTTTATTCCCTCTCTGAAGATATCAGCTGAAAGTTCTCATTGCAGTCCATAATTTTGCCCATAAGCAGTTGGAGTCATAAATCATAAAGGAATGAGGATGCACTTGATTGTGTACTTTTGAATTAGGATGTCAGACATCAGAGTTAATTAATTAAAAAAGTAAATTTAGCTATCTCTGAACTTCAATGTAACTTGGGTGAGTTGGTTCACAATTTGGTTCATAGGCAAATAAAATTGATATTATATTCAAGTAAAATGCTCTTAAAAGTATATGTTAAGCTCAATTTGGTATGTTAAAATAATATGAATAGCAGTTCAAGTTTATAAAGTTTTCAGGTAAAGTAAAACTTGATGAGTAATCAAATGTAGCAGTTAACATCATGAGACTTCACTATAGAAAAAGGCATCACGTGAGAAACGACAAAAAAAAGCAGCTACCACCTCACTCTGATATTGTCATAACCATGAAAGAAATTTAAGTTCATATTGAGGCAAACAAGGAAAGAAAAATGTTCATAATCCTTCAATTATACTCCACTCATAGAATCATTCTAGCTTTGAAACTCTCTTATGTGCTATTTCTCTTTTCTTCAATTCCTAGTGCCAAAGGCTACACTGCTAGAGCTCACACCTTCATTTATGCTGGCTGCTCTCAAGAAAAATACCAACCAAACACACCCTTTGGAGCCAACCTCAACTCCTTTCTGTCTTCAGTTTCTGGCTCATCTTCTGACACTTCTTACAATAGCTTTGCCATTGGAAATGGAAGCACATCACCGCCAGAGGGGTCCATATATGGCTTATACCAATGCAGGGCTGATTTGAGGCCAACTGAATGCTCAAAATGTATTCAAAGTTGTCTCAACCAAATAGGCTTGGTTTGTCCCTTGGCACTTGGTGCATCTTTGCAACTTGAAGGCTGTTATGTAAGATATGAGCATGTTGATTTCCTTGGCAAACCTGACACAAGCCTTTGGTACAAGAGGTGCAGCAAAGCAGTGGCAAGTGATGCTGAGTTCTTGAGGCGTAGAGATGATGTTCTTGGTGATTTGCAAGGTGCTAATGGATTTGGAGTGAGTACTTCAGGTTTTGTTGAAGGGTTCGCACTGTGTTTGGGAGATTTAAGTGTTGCTGATTGCTCCTCTTGCCTTCAAGAAGCAGTTGCAAAGGTTAGGAGTGTGTGTGGATCAGCAGCATCAGCTGATGTGTTCTTGGCACAATGTTATGCTAGGTATTGGGAAGCTGGCTACTATGATGAAGCAGGTCAATTTGATTTCCAATTCTTAATTTTTTCTTCATTAGAATATAGCCATTGAAAAATTAGAACATATTCTTATCTTAGATCAACAAATTCTACTTAGGATTTCTTTTCTATTTTAAAGGGTAGCCATTACAATTAGTTTATAACTAAATCTAACTAGTCATGGTTATAAATTGAAATTACAGTCGCAATTGCAGTGTAATCTTTGACATTACGGAAAATCGAGGGGGTAATATGGTCGCAATTGTAGTTGTGATGAGTTAAAAAACCTTTATGTTATCACTGCAATTTAAAACTATGCTAATTACATTAAATATTCTTCACATCGAGCATTTGTTAAAGGCTTTACATTAAACATTCTTCCCTGAAACTTTGATCTTTAACCGAGTTGAATGGCGTTGTGTGAGCTATGTAGCCAACTTCACGGGATAAGAATTTGTTGTTGAGCATTTGTTCAATGAAAAATTGATGAAGACTGAATTGATTTAATTCTTAGGGGAGAAGAGAAAGAGAAGGATGTTGAGATTACTTTGAAATTTAAAGTATGATTGAAATTACTTAAAGAAACTTTGTGACATTAGGGACTACTTTGTTCTAAGTGAAGTGAAAATGGAGGTGAAAAGCATGCAGGATACAACTAGTACATAACAGATTGTCAAATGCAACGGTCAACATGTAATCTTTTTATGAAGCAAAGTGTTTACTTTGGTGCTTTACATAGGGAAATGCACACTGCAATTCCTGTCTTCTTTTACTTTCTTTAAGTTTTATTACTTTTGGTTAAATCTCTCAACACCCAATATTTTATTCTGTCTTTGCTTATTAGAGTACCAGTTCACTAGAGAACCACTCCATTTCTAACTTTTTTTTCTTTTCTAGTGTCATAATTTGGCATAAAGCTAAGCACCCAATATTTTATTCTGTCTTTGCTTATTAGAGTACCAGTTCACTAGAGAACCACACCATTTCTAACTTTTTTTTTTCTTTTCTAGTGTCATAATTTGGCATAAAGCTAAATTTCAGTATTAAAGATGAGATAATATGGAATCCAAGGACAATCTTTTAATCTCAGACACTGCAAAGCTTTATATTCTTTTCTCCAATGTCTAAACTAATAATGTTTTTGGTCAAGTGAAATGCAAAATCTTCCTTATATTGCTTTCAAAATTAAATAGTTTGCCTTCATTATTTGACTAGAAAGTACAACCGACCATTGTGTTTATCAAACATCAAACATCGGTATATTGTTTTACTTTAGTTAATAATCTCAAATTTGATATTGAGTATCAACTTAAATACTCATTGTTTCACTCTTATCACTTATAATCATCTTATATGGCTTGAATATGACTGATTTATGTATAGAATAGTTGTGATTTAAACTTTAAAAAAAAAAAAAAAATACCACACATTGGTGTAATCATGCGAGATTATAGCAGTTTTCTTTGTAAAATCTTCATGCTTAGTATACCAATAATTTTGATCATTGTTTTTCAGCAACTTTGTGTTTTGTGCAGAATCTTCCAACGAGGAAGACCAAGTGGGAAAATCAGTGGCCATTATTGTGGGAGTACTTGCAGGTCTAGCCATTCTAGTTGTCCTTCTCTCAATATGCCGAAGAGCAATGGGTAACCATTTAATTTATTAATCTTGTAATGCTTATAATGAAGAATGATGGTGCTGATGATGAATATTTGTGAATAACATGCAGGTTAAAATAAAGTAGGTAGTGTTACACTCAAAGGAAGGGGGTAATGATTCAAAATGTCAGCAAATGTTTGTTTAATGTTTAGATTTTATGAAAGTGTTGCTTCCACTTTTGTGCTATTATTATTAATACATTGTTTTTCAGAAGGTGGATGTTATCTTATAGTTTATAAAGTGGAAAACTCTCAAATCCATCAACTTCAAAAAGGCTGCCAAATCACTTGCCCTTGTGATATCATATACATCAACATTATTTTAATAGTATATAAAGTGTGTGCATTTTTCTTAATTGGCCTTTCTATTTTGTTTAATTAGTGCTCTTTTGAAAGGGCAATCAAGATTGTTCTCTGTTTTAATAAACTTGCCTGTGGATTGCAAAGCTCCTAATTAGAAATGAGACAAGTGATAATTTGGGTCAAATCCCAATTCACATAAGCAACAAGGCATAAGCTATGTTGTGAACATTCAAAATTTTCATTTTAACATATATAGATACTTAGTTGTAGTAGTAGAATCCTTAAATTTGATTATGATATTTTTCAATTTTCAATTTTCTTTTTTTTTTTTGGGTCGACATGTCTTCATGGTCTCCCTTGGGTCCCTTTTGATTTCAGTAGGGACTTTCACATTCTTAATTTGGGCTTCAAATCTGTCCAATTATAGCTTGAAGGGGGTTTTATTTCCAACTTTTTTTTCCATGCACATCATCGCTTTATATAAAACACTTGGAAAGATTTTTGAAAAAATATTTATATTTTGAAAACTATTTTTTTAACATAAAAAGAATATTTTTAAAAAATGGCAATTTGATCTCACTTAGAAGTCACCAAGGGACAAGTTGAGTTGACTTTATCTCTATTATAATATTATTTAAAATTTTGACTAAATCATTTATTTGATTCAAATTTGACCTGCTTAAAATTCAAAATATATGAGATAAGAGATATTTGAAATATTTAAAGAGAGAAGGAAGACATGAAAAACTTTCATTTTTTTACTCAAATAAAATATTAATCTCAACTATGAATACACTAATTTAAATATTTATTAACATTGACTTAACTAACTATAATTAATAATATCATATTTTTGAAAATTATTATTTACTGTTGGTAATATTAATGCTAACAATTCTTTTTTGGCAATATTAGTAGCGTAGGTCATTGATGTTAAAAATTGAAAGAAAAAAGAAAGTATTTTAATGGCGAGTTAGCATTATTATTTGACATAAATGTCTAAATTGATACCAATCGATATTAATTTAAAATTTTCACATTGTGATAATGTTATATACAATATTATTTATTAAATAAAATAATTTTAGACATATTTTTTTAATACTATAAAATGAACAAGTTTTTATTTTAATCATTATAAAATTTTTATTTTTTTTATCTTTAAAAATTTGAAATTATTATTTAGTCCCTATTATTATGTCATAATTATCAACCAATAATGTTTTATTATAAGGTAAAGTGACTGTTCTAGATAATTTCAATTATTGTCTATGATAACATGTCAATGCATGATATCTTAATTTTTTTTTTATAAATCTTTAAAATAAAATATTATTATCCATCTTAATTCTTAAAATGATTATTAAAGATAAAAAATAATAATTTTAAATTTTAGAATAATAAAAATAATATATATATATATATATATATATATTAATTAGAGGATCTCAACTAAAAAATTTTCATAAAATAAAATTAATGATTCCAAATTTAATAAAATGAAAAATATTTTTTATATAAAGATCAATATTGAAATCTTATCATTTTATGAGATTAAAAATATATTTTAACTATAATTTTATTATTAATATGTAATTCTTATTTTAAAAGAATGAAACAATGCAAAAGATAATCCAATATTCACTAGCGAAAAAAAGACTTTTAAAATCAGTTATTTTTAACTTTTAAAATTGGATCTCTAACTGATCTTAAAAGAGCCGATTTTGAAAAGTTAAACTTTTAAAATCGGTTATAAACCGATCTTAAATGTGTATTTTTAAGATCGGTTGTTTCATAACCAATCTTAAAAATCTTAACTTTTATGATCGGTTATGGAATAACCGATTTTAAAAACTAGGACTTTTAAGATCGATTGTTGCATAATCGATCTTAAAAGTGGTGAATTTTTTTTGAAATGTTTGACTTGTTTTGGGAGCGTCTCAGAACAAAAGATGCAAATAAATAATAAATACCAGAAAATTCAGATATTTTTAATTAACCAAAATATCTATATTTTCCATGTTACTTCTCAATGAATCAAATTGCATACAAATGAGACGAGATGATAAATGTCAACCATATATATAATCGAATAATTTTAAATACATGTAATACATAAATGGATCACATTGCTCAATGAAATGTAAGTCCTAACTAGTCAAAGTAATACTATAAAACATAAGCCCAAACTAGTTAATGTAATGGTCAATAAAAAATGTGACCCATTATTCCCTAATGGTGCTTATGTCTTCTAGTGATAATGGTGATCGATCTATAAATATTTATTAAGAAAAAATATAACAATTAGTAATAATTCATAAAATATATAAAATGAGAACTTAAAATAAAAACTTTCAAAATTGTAAAACTTATTTCAATCCACCTATATACTATTTCTGAATCGACAATAATATGCATTGTCTTCATTACATAGTATCCGCACTCATAATTTTTTGTTTGTTTATGAGACTACAAAAAGAATATAAAATCAATTTCAACAGTAATAGTAATTCAAAACAAAATTACTTAAAAAAATTATCATTGCTAGAATTAAAATCTTACTTTAGGAGAGACTCAACTCATTTTTTTCTTCAACTTTGAATCCTTAAGTATATGATATCCTTCCATGGCCCTAATGATAGAATAACATTATGATTATAGTTTAAAGTCTAATGTATTGATAATCAATAAAAGAAAGTAGATATTTTTAAACAACTTACTTATCTAATAATTGTCTAAAGTCCACAAGAGGAGGTTTATGCAACGAGCAAATGCATACAACTATGTTGTCAATAGGAAAAATAACAAGATGTTGCCAATGAGCACTACATTAACAAATTATTAATGATAGGAAATAGTTTTTATAAAAAAATTATAATTAATTATATAAAAGTAGACTTACTCAGAAAAGTAAGGGGTCAAGTGAACTTTTTTATTTGAGTCAGACATTCAATTTTAAATGTAAATTTGCATTTCTTCAGCCTTGTTCCCACTTTTTTGGATTGACTCAAGTTCCAAAAAGGACTAAAAGTAGTCATAAGCTTTGTTAATTGCATGCTAAAACAAACCAAACCATATACTAATGTTCCTTTTTAGCTTCCTTTCTTTAAATATAGATGAGTAACTATTTGTGATAAATCAAACTAATTCTCAAGTTATTAATTTTTGTACGCACTATGGATTGGTCTCCCCTTCCCTTCACCTCCTTCCTCTTCCCAATTCCAAAGGGATGGTAAACAAATGACCATACCAGATGCTATCATACATAATATGCATCACCACCGACCCATGTGTCAAGGATTAAGTATCCTGCATGGACTTGTGTCAAAAAAATTACTACCTATCCAATCCAAACATTTGACATATCTAGTTGCTTGTGGGGCCCATTGGTTCCCCCAACCCTTCCCTTCTATGCTATTCAAAAACTCAAAAGGGATATCATCAACAAATTTATCAACAAATAAAATGCTATATATCATATCATTGCCGCCCCATGTGTTTGGTCATGCCTTTTTGGTGTTTCTACATGTTTCATAATTTTCATGATTAATTATGAATCGCGGTTATGCCTTCTTGGTGTTGCTACATGTTTCGCAATTTTCATTATTAATTATAAATCATGCTCTATTTATAATTTCAAAATATATATAATCATAAATATTAACCATATGATAATCGTGATAATAGATAACATGTACAACATTTAGTTTAAGCTTGTGGATTTTGTGAAAAAAGAGTTACTGCAGAAAATTAGATTCTTGAAGAATTTTACATTGTAAAGTGAGTTCACGTTTGCAGAAAAATGGTTACATGATTTACTGAGGTTCTCAAGTTATTAGAATAAGACCTGATGAGTTGATAACACTGATAGCGCCACACTCGCAATGTGTTGCAGTGCTTGAAACTGTATCTTAGGTAACCTTCATTAACACTGCAAAAAATAGCAAAAATAAATCAGTTAGCAAGTCAAATAACGAATCCCCTCTCCAAAGCCCCATCTACAACAATGGGCACATCTACAAACTCTCGCTCAACAACCTCTTGTTGGGACCTCTCTTCCAACTTCCTGACAAGCCCAACCCCCTCCTCTGTTTTCAACCTCGCTGTTCTCCAACTGCCTCTAGGGGGAGATTCCACTACAGCTCACATTGTACCCAGATTCAACACCTCCTCACAAAATTGGCCACATACCTACCTCATATTCACGCAGGTATCCATTAAGCAGGTATCATACCCACGAATATCCATGGATATTTATAATTTTTTTAAGAAATTAAAAAAATTTATATTACAAATAATTTTAAGTTTATATTTAATGTCATTGAAATATTAAAAATAAAAATTCAATGTTAATTTTGAACTTGTATTTAATGTTAATTTTGTTGAAATAATAATAAAAATACAAGATAATCAATAACTTAAAATACATCAATCTCACAAGTTAAAGTCTCATCACAAAGTTACAGTAATTCAATCTCATAATTTCAAACGAAAGTAAACAACTTAAAATACATAAATTTTATTGGTCCAATCAAAGCTAGAAAATTAATCAAATTACATCCAACATAATTCTATAACATGCTTAACACATGTTGGTAACTTCATTAACCTCACTTTTGTAAGAAAAAAGATGAGAGAGTGTAGTTTTAGGGTTATGTGGTATAGGGATAATTAGGATATTTAAGAAATATTATTAAACGGGTACCTGCAGGTATGGATATCATCATACCCGCCCCCGCCCCGTTTATAAACGGGTAAAAAATTATCCGTCTCTATTATTCGCGGGTACCCAATTAGCTTATCCATTTATTATCCGTAGCGAATTTTATCCGTAGATACTCATGAGTGTGAATATTTTTGTCATCCCTAAGCACGAGAGAGTGGAGAACGAAGTTGAGAAAGTGGAGAACGCAGATATTTAAGATTGGTTATAAAAGAATCGATTTTGTATATTACATACAAAATTGGTTCTTATACGGCCAATCTTAGAAATAGGAACATGATATACTTTTTTAAATCGAGTATTTTAGAATGGATTTTGTATAATATATATAAAATTGGTTCTAAAATAATTGATTTTAAAAATAGTAACAAAGACATCTTTTAAAATTGGTTAAATGATAACTGATTTTAAAATTTTTTAAAATCAGTTAAAATTTGACCGAGTTTAAAAGTAGTGATTTTAATTAAAAAATATCACCGCCTCACTTTTAAAATTGATTCCCTCTTAACCGATTTTAAAATCCCAATTTTAAAAGTTATTTTTGTACCAGTGATTACCTTACAAAAATAACTCGAATCTAATTTTAAAATCAATGCTAGAGAGAATAATTTTAATGCAATTAAGATTTTTAGAGAGATTAATCTCAAGGAAACTAGAGAATACTTCTACTAATATCATAATAATAATAAAAATCTAATTTTAAAATTTGAACCTGACGAATTTTTTCGAGGAAGGCTTAAATTAATTAGTGAGAAGTGTGGGTATTGGTCACCTTAGTTTAATTAGTGAAATTGAATGTGGGCTAAAGCAAATTTAATAGTTATGGGCCGACTGTAATCATTATTGTATTTTTGTGCCATAAAAAACCCTCTAATTAACTGTTCTATTGTAGGACGGTAATCTTTGAACCACCTCGGTCCCCACCCTCCCCAAGAAAAATATCTTCGTCTCCTTTCAATATTATAAATACTTATAAGATGAGAAAATAAGAATAAAAATTAATTTAAATATTTTAAAAGAAACTAAATAAAACAAGTCAATTATTAAAATATTCTAATATAAAAATTAATTTTTGCTAATAAAAAATATATTATTTCATTTTACTTCTTATTTTATTTCTTTAGAGGATTATAGTTGTGCTTCTTTTTATTTTTTATTATTATTATTTTTATTTTTTATAATTTGCATCTTGTAAGTCCAAAAAAATTAAATTAAACACTTGAGGATGGATATCGAAAACCTTTTATTTTTTTTATTTTTTTACAGGAAACCTTGAATTTTAAAAACATTTAATTTTGAGGGATCTAGAAAAACAAGAAAAAAGGAACATTACCATAGATACAACAAAGTCGTATATGAGACTATTGAGTTGATGACTTTTCTTAATTTTTCTGTGGATTTGAATTTGTCAAGAATTATAATTTTCAAATTATATATTCTAGCTAGAAAGGAGATCGATATCATAGACTTTAAGAAAAGTTGAACTATGTGTAATCACTAGAAGTCATACATGATTACATAAGGTGTTTAATTTTAAAGGAAGTTGAGTATTGCAAGAGTGTTGACAAGAATTTTTCTTTTCAAAAACTAAATATAATAAGATTATTGTCTTTAAATTGACGCAAGTGAATTATTTTTTCCTAACATATTTAAAGGGTTCAAGACCCATTCCTTCTCAATAATGTCCTAACATTGTCCATTAGAACAAGCTTTATGTTATAGATAGGGTATATTTTATCTTAGAATAGTGGATTAAGGCTAACTCAACCCTACAAAACCGGCTTGTAAGGTAAGAGTTGCTTTCCACTTATATACTATTCAATTGCCTAATCTCTAGTCGATGTGGGACTTGAATTTTTCCCAATACACCCCCTCACGTCCAGCACTATTGAGCTTGGTACGTGAATAAATGGTGGGTGACCCTTTTTAATGATCTAGGATTGGCGGGACTTGGATTTTTCCCAATACACCCCCTCATGCCTGTGAGGCATGCATCAATGGTGGGTGACCCATTTTTAAAGTGGATCTAAATGGCTCTGATACCATGTTAGAATAGTGGATCTAAATCTAACTCAACCCTACAAAACCGGCTTGTAAGGTGAGGATTGAGTTTTTTTCAATACACCCCCTCACGTCCAGCACTATTGAGCTTGGTACGTAGATAAATGGTGGGTGACCCTTTTTAATGATATAGGATTGGCGGGACTTAAATTTTTCTCAATACACCCCCTCATGCCTGTGAGGCATGCACCAATGGTGGGTGACCCATTTTTAAAGTGGATCTAAATGGCTCTGAAACCATCTTAGAATAGTGGATTAAGCCTAACTCAACCCTACAAAATCGGCTTGTAAGGTAACGGTTGCTTTCCACTTATATACTATTCAATTGCCTAATCTCTAGTCGATGTGGGACTTAGGTTTTTCCCAATACACCCCCTCACGTCCAGCACTATTGAGCTTGGTACGTAAATAAATGGTAGGTGGCCCTTTTTAATGATCTAGAATTGGCGGGACTTGAGTTTTTCCCAATACACTCCCTCATGCCTGTGAGGCATGCATCAATGGTGGGTGACCCATTTTTAAAGTGGATCTAAATGGCTCTGATATCATCTTAGAATAGTGGATTAAGCCGGTTTTGTAGGGTTGAGTTAGGCTTAATCCACTATTCTAAGATTTTATATGGTAGGGATTGATTAAGTCATCTACATACTCATCCACTATAACGCAAAAATTTATAATTATTTTAACAGATAATTATGAATAATAGTAATTTCTAATTTAATTAAGTTAATAAATTATGCACAATGTATTATATTTATATTTAGATATTATTTATTTTGAGATTTATATTATAAATATTTTCTTAATTTAGTTATTTATCGTTAAAATTTTGTGATTTAACTATACATAATATTTCAATTGATATTTTCGTTTACACATTTAAGTGTTCTCACTCTTATGTTTTTTCAGTTGCGTAAATTATTTTGTATCAAAAATACGCGTAAATTGGATTAAAGGGTAAACTTATTATTTAATTAATCGCTTTTATATTATTTTTATTGTCATTTATATCCTTACTTTTTTATGTTGATTAATTAAATTGTATTTATTAGGTTGTTCTTAATTATTTTAGTTATTTTTTAAGAAGGGTTGTTGTTATTTTAGTTATTTATTGATATATTGAATACTTAGACACACCATTTATAGTATACAACATTATTCTTTTAATTGTTATACCCGTTTCATCATTGGTATTCATTGTTTATTCTATAATACCCTTTTTATATTATCATTTTTAATATATACAAGATGTTAGTGAATAATTTATTTCGTAAATATTAATTTTTGGTACTATTTCTTTTATTATTTCTTTCATAAATAACGTTATTTTTTTTATTTTATAAATTTTAATGAAAAATTATATAAACATTTTATAAATAGTAAGTAAATTGTTACCTCGTGTGGAATAAAGAAAATTAAACAAGTATATATATATAAACTTTGCATGACTTTCATTATATTTGTACTACAAATTTAAGTATTCTTAATTTGCAAATTAGATCGACCATGATATTAACAAACTTTGCACCCTCATTATTGGCCAATGAAAATGATGTTGATACACGGACTAACACGAAACTTCCAAGCATTAGAATCCAAATTCCAACCTCATCATGTAGATCAACTCAAGAAAATGAAGCTAATTTTAAAAAATAATTTATTAATATTTAAATGGTGAGCGAATGATGAACTAAATTTAAGGACTGGAGAGACTAATTTTAGTCCCTAGTGTTAATTTCATCATGATAGACGTTTTACAATATAAATTTTATAATTAATATTTTGGAAAGTTAACTCCTCTAAAATGAGATGTTGTATTTTATTAAAGAACAAAATACACTTACAATGTTGATTAACAAATCAAACAGTTAAAAAAATTATAAAGACACATATATAATGAATAAAATTTTAACTGTTGATTTTTTAATTAATAAATATTATTATCTTTATCTTCTAAAATGTGTCAGCTTCACTATATTTTAAAAGAGTCATCATTTTACATACATGTTTTTATTTATTAAAATTAATTCTATCAAAATTTAACATAAATAGATTAATTCACTATAGAACAAATACACAAATAATGATAAATAAAAAAAGACAAACAAATAGAAATTACTAAGACTTTCAAATAATGAAACTTTTAGCTTTGATTCTACAGTGAAATACAATTCCACCAGCAATTACAATTCTTTAAATCAAGTAACAATATAAACACCAATAATACAATTTGTAGCCCACCCACTTATTTTTTTCTTGCCTTATTCTCTAGCACAGCAACCCATATATTATACATTTGTGTTGAGGCAAATAATTTAAAATACATGAATCAATGCAAAGGTGCACCAAACTTCTAATGAATGACTATAAGCAACATACAATATTTAAAGTCCAGAGGTGAAAGGGACACCAGTGCTAGGTATCCAAGAGTTTCCAGCAATGAAGTTTCCAACAGTGAAAGGTGAGGCCTGAGAGGCACTAGTGAGGACATGGTAACCCTTCCATGAAACCCTATTTGCAGTGCTGGAGCCAGGACCAGTGTTTGCATATTCTGCATAGTACAAAGTGTCCAAAGCAAAGTTACCATCCCATTCCATCCAACCAGCAGGGTTGATCAAGCTGTCCAGGTAGGTCTTCATGAACACTGTCCTTGAGTACTTTTGCCAGGGCCTCCCAAGGTATGATTTAACCGAACTAGGGTTAAAGCCAGAGGCACCTGTGACCTTGGAGTTGTGAATGATGATGCCTGTGTTTTGGTTAGGGTCAGTTCTGCCTTGTGCTGTGACTGTGATGGTTTTCTGTGGAGGGCTTCTTGCATAGATGTTGCAGTTTTGCAAGACTACTGCTGCATTTCCAAAGATGAAATCCACTGTGCCATAGATGTCACATTCTCTGTAGAATTGCCTCTCTGAGTGGACATAGAGTGTGTCTTGGTAACCCTCAAAGCTGCATTTGTAGAACACTGAGAGATCAGAGCCTGAACGGAATGCCACAGCTTGGTGATTTGCTGCTCCTGCTGTGTTCCTGAATGTGATATCTTGTGCAATGAATCCATCACCCACAGCAGCTGAAAAAATACAAAACAATAGTTGAATTAAATAATAATCATTTCTCGAGTAATGGTAAGATATGGTAACAAATTAAAATCATGTGATAAGAAAATTATTAACATTTAATGCACGATAATTTGTGACCAAATATACAAATTTTTTTACATTCTTATTTTTGGAAAACTAATATATTTTCTAGTTGAAAGTTAAGAATTAATTTCTTGAAATACTAAAATCTATTTAAGAGGTTGATCTCTTTCACTAATATTTTTCTATAATGATTAAACATTAATTACATATTTAAAGGATAAATTTATCTATTAATCATATTACACTTTGTTAACAAAATCTATATACATTACGAGTTCATGGATTATTTTTTTCTAATTTTTCTAATTTTTTTTTAATAAAATCTCAAATCAATTATTCATAATATTAATTTATATTCTAGTATAAATTTTTTATTTATTTTTTAATTTTCTGGCTTATATATATATTCGTATACTCAACCCAATTGCAGATGTCCCTATCCAGATGCCGTACTAACTAAATTTGTTTACTTCTGAATTGTTCAACTTATTTTTTAGCAATTAATGATGATTTTATATTCTACTTAAATCTAGCTTCAGTACGTGGAAGTTTGAGAATATATATCAAAGTGGGTCATGCAATTTGGATAAGGAATATAGGATGCATGATGAATGCAATTTTTTATAGAATGGTCCAAGAAAGAAATATATAATAATCTAGAAGGCGTTTATCTATCACTATCTACATGCCTCACGTCTCCTTTTAATTTTTTGACTACTGAAAGTCAAATTCCAATCGCTCCCTTGTTCTCATAACCTCAAACAATTGAAACTTCTTATCGTTTATCTTGCTCTCTAAGACAAGTTTTGTGTCTCACTAATTCAATTCAACCACGTAAATTAACTCTTAAATCAAACCTACGGCTGAAAAACGTGGTATTTTCTTAATTCCAATGGGGACATAACACTAAAGTGTGGATAAATTTCTTTTGTCGAATTAATGGACAACCATTTAATTGGAGAGACGGGTAAAGAGACATGAAATTTGGACAAATAAATTCATCCGTATAGTAGCATCAGATAATGTAAAAAAAAAAATATATCAAATTCCGCCACATAAATAAAATAGAAGAAATATATATAACAGTAACATAACTCTAGCCTAATGTGGATCACGGGGGCTCCACAAACAACCAAATCAAGACAAGATGAAGCTTTTATTAAATTAAGACACAGTCTAATAATTCAAATTACTTTAATGTACAGATCGTTTAAACAAAATAAATATATTTGAATGAAACAATAATGGTATCTATCTGTATTATTTTATTATTAATAATAATCTCCTTTACTCTGTATCTACAAAAAAACTAATTTGTCGACTATTTATGGTAACTTGGTAAGTACACAACTATGTTTGGCATCTATAAAATTTATTTGAGTTCAGCTTGTAGCTATATTAAAATAAAGTGGTTTTATAAAAATAAATAAATAAAATATAGTGATTATTTCCTTCACTGACAAGTGTGATCTGAGTCGTGATTTATCGCCCTATAATTATTTAAAAATAGTTTACTTTTCTCTGTCTTTTCCCTATCAAAGAAAGAGATGTAACGTAAAAATGACCTGAACCAAATATTACTTCTATGAATTTGTTGTTATTTGTTAAAAGCATAATAAATATAAATAAGGGAGTTGCTACGATACCCTCAAAGATGGAAGGGTTTCAATACATTTTTCTATGTAAACTCATAAATTTTTTTTAAAAAAATTAATTTAATTATAAAATAAATAATCTAAATTATACTTATAAAATAAAAAGTAAGATAAAATTATAGAGATTAAAATTATAAGTTTTCAATAATATTATAAAATATTAAAGAAAAAGAAAAAAATTAATAAATAGTAGAAATAAAAAGTTATTAAAATTACAATATAAAAATTCAAAAATTTAAGACAAAAAGACAAAAAATATACTTAAAAAATTATTAAAATTAAAATATAAAAATTCAAAAATTTTAAGTGAAAAGATAAAAATATACTTAAAAAATTATTAAAATTAAACTATTTAAATATATAATAATATTATTACAAATAAATTAGAATATATAAAATAAAAATAAAATGACTAAATAATTTAAAAATTGAAAGGATAAAATATTATAAATATTATTTAAATAAATTACTAAAAATATAAAATATAAAAAACTGTACCGGTACCCTCTCAAATAAGATGGGTACCATAGAATTTCTCTATAAATAATACTAAGGGTTAGATTCCCAACTCGATTGTCAAATAATTTAATTTATATCATCATTTAACCACAAATTATCATATGAAATAAGTTTATTAATTTTATAATAATTATTTTAAAAATTATATAATTAAGATATTTTCTAATTGATTAATTATGTATATAACTTTAGGCTAACAATAAAACTCATTAATTGTAAAATATTAAAATAATAATAATAATAAATCACCACATATTTTCATTGCTGTAAGCATGCTGACTATTACTAAACTCGAAAAGTAAAAGTAAAAGAATATTTAAATAAAGGAAATTGTTTCTTATACCCCAAATTTCGTTGTTACTGTTGGTTAACAAAACGTATGATCTTGACTAATGAACTAGTGTTATGTCATCCATAAGTTGAAACACAACATTAAAACATTATCTATATCTTGAAGGGTGTATATATATAAATTTTAGTGATCTAGCTAATAAAGTTAGGGGGAAAATATGATCATAATATTTGCTTACCAACAGTGGCAGAACGGAAAGTTGTGGAGCCTCCTCCAACACTTTTACTACCTGTGATTATGGTCTTTCCAATACCATCTCCAACCAACATTATATTCTTTGCTTTTACCTCAACTTGTTCATTGTATACGCCAGCCTTCACATATATCACATACCTTCCACTACTACTCGTTGGAGCAGCATCAACGGCTGCTTTCACCGTTGTGTACTTGCCAGAGCCATCTTTAGCCACCACCACATTGGCCTTAGAAGCTGCTGAAGATGATTGCAACAACTTTCTATCACCTGGCTTCACCCATGTTGGGAAACCATCTTTGTAACTTGGTGGTTGAGATTGGTAAGAACCCTTGTTGAGAGAGAGGGTGTTACTAAGTAACTTTGTGACATTATTTGACATCAAGGGTAGTATATAATCTGGGACCCCAAGTTCATAGAATCCAGCTTTGCATGTTTCAAGGTTTGTTAGGGCAGTGCTGAGCCATGTTTGTGTGTCGGTTTGGGTGCACTTGGTGTAAGGGTCAACGGTTTTGTTGAGCTTTTGGATGGTGTATTCGTAGAGTTCAAGGCAATCTTCCCATGCAGATTTTTCATGCACGTTGCGGCACTTGGGGCCTATTGAATTTGTGTTCTGTTCACCGTTTTGTGCTCTCTCTAGAGCTAGTTGGAGGGAGACTTTGAGGAAATCGGATTTGTTTTTGATGGGTTTGTTGAAGGCATGGTTGGTCAAGTAGTACTCACATGGCTGAGGGTAAGGGGTTTGGTTGCACCATGATTGGATGTCTTTCAATGAGTAAGAGGAAGCAATGGAAGAAAAAAGAAAGGGGGCAAGTAGAAGGGTTAATAGTGACCTAAATGATGCCATAGTTAGGGGTAGACTATGGCTAAAAGTGGTTATGGGGTTTGGAATGAGAGGGTGGAGGGAAAGTGATATATAGAGGTTTTGATTGGGGGTGGGTGGGGTTCATGTCCTAAACTTTGTGCCTTTAAATAGAGGGAGAGAAGGGGTGTTTTAATGGACAATTATGGATTGAAGTTGTAAACTATGGGACTGCTCACCATGTCTTACTTTTCTGAATCAGTTTTGGATTTGCTCTATATTTTCATGCACGTTTGTTCATTCATTTGTGTAACAGCTTTTGCAATTTATTAATACATGTAACATTTTAAGTGGGGTATCAATATTTTAGAAAAATTAATTTGGGGCAAAAACGAATAAAGGATATATAGTATATATGTATCTAACTTTGACCTAAACAATATGCTGACTTGTCCCAGCAGTGGCGGCAACAATCATCATCCAATAAAACGCGTTATAGTTATGGTATATATGTTTATTTTTGCACAATCATCAATCATCATAAATATATATATTTTATATCTTATGCTACCCCCAACAATTTCTTATTAGTTGAGCCTTAGTTTCTAGCTAGTTACTCGATGAATAAGCTTGCCAATTAATTGTTTGCTAATTGTTCTGGCCATAGGAAGGCAAACTGATTTTGGTTTTTACTTTGTCAACGAGAATTGGCCTGAAATATTGTTAATTATATATATTAATTAAAATGAATTGATATATATGCACTATTTAATAATGGAGTAGAAGTCTTGGGCTTATTTGACATGAAACTTTCAAAATATTTACTTTCAAACGGCATCATAGTTGTAAAATAGGATGAAATAATTGACCCTTTGGTTTCAGCAATTCCACCATTTGTATTTCTCTTGGTTACGCATGACATTTGTCCAGAATATTGACTGGAAAATACAGTGACAAGGAGATTTTCCTTTTTCCTGTTAAGGCGATGATTTGATTGGCCACATTAATTTTCTTTAACTAATTGTTGACTTTGGGATAAAGATACATATAGGGATATGCTTCTTTTAATAGATAATCATTTAAGGAATTATATCTCTCTTTGTAGATATGGGTGGCACCCGCTCAAATGTTAATATATTTTATTTGCTGTTTCAATTTTTTTTAAGGAATTATACATATTAGAAAACTTTATAATTCATGTTTGTACGCATGTTACTTATAACTAGTTCTATAGATTCATACAAAAAAAGTAAATTGAAACAAAATAAAACAAAGTTATATGAATGAATATAATAATATAAAAAGAAATATGTTTAAAGTATCTTGTAAAAGGTAGGGATGACCGGATGATACCCAATAAGCGGGTTTAGAGAGGGTATTGCCTGTTTTTAATTTATACTTACACGTTTTTTCTAAGAAAAAACTTATATTTGTGTTAATAGTAACTTTAATTTAGTATCTATTATCATATCTTACATAAAAACATGATCACGCTAGCTAAAATTAATACACCTATTAAAAGTGTAAAATAATGTCCTAGAACCCGCTAAGAACTCAAAATCTTATAACAAGCTCTACATATATATAGCGTGATCCGGACAAATCACACACATTTAACGAATAGTCCTCTAATGTTTTCTAACAATTCTCACCTTTTTTTCTTGGGGGAGGTGTGCATACATTAACATAATGCCTCAATCGTGTGTGAGAAGGGGCAGTGGTAATTTGGTGTCAGATATATAGCATGTAATTAATTCAACTCAATTCACCTTTAACCTGCTTTAAAAAAAATGAGTTGATTTGATATTAGATTAATTTTTAATTTCTTTGAGTTGAAAATCTCAACCTATGTATAATGAATTCACGAGTTGGGTTGATTAAAATAATTAATAATAAATTATTTCTTCATTCTATTTGTTTTTTTTCTTTTTAAAGAAAGTTTTGTCTTTTGTGCCTTTGGTGTTAAGTGAATGATAATCTTTGTTAAGTATGAGTCTTCTGATAGACCAGCTGTGTGAATTAAGAATTGAAATGAGAATTAAATCTTACTTATATACATGTGTAATTGAGAATTGAGAAATTGAAATATAAGAATGGAGAATTGAGACTTGAGACATGAGTTAATGAGAGTTATTGAGACATTATGATTTGTATACAAGTATCCTTATAGGAGATAAGCGCCATAAACATTACTGAATTTTGGAATGTGCAAGTGAATTACATCATAGAGGTCACGTGAAAGATCTCTTGATATGAACCTTAGAGGTATATTGGCTTGGAATCTCCATCATGACCCATGTTGATTTCTATAAGTTTGAAGTATTGTTACACAGTTTTGAAATTTGGAATGATTATCAAAGTGGTTAAAATATTGGATCTTAAATGTGAAATTGATATATCATTACTTGAACTATATAACTCAATTTTTATCAATTTATTTTAAAATATATTAATGTTATATATATTTCATATACCTACAAATTTAATAAAATTTATATCATATTTTAAATTAAATATATTATATAAATTATTTAAGTCAAATATACAACAATAGAATATGTTGATTTAATGATCATTACAATGATTAAATAATCACATTCACTAGTGTTCCAAGTTTCATCTAATCAAAAATAATTTTATTTCTTTGTATGAGGAAATAAATTAGAATTGAATTAGAAGAATAAATATATAATTTTAAATAAAAAAATATGTTATTTAAGGTATATATATCACTAATTTTTAATATCTATATATATATATATATAGAGAGAAAAAAAAAAGATTCAAATGATATCGGTGTAACTTTTATTAAGTGTTATACCGCTCAATAATTTTATATTAAATATAAATTTTATAAATTCAACCGTTGAATTATAACTTTATATTACTTTATATGTTTATATCAAATTTTGTTAAAATTGATGAACAATGACTTGAAAGTAATCAAAGTGTTCATATTTTATTATATTTTGAAATGTATATATTACGTCTATTTTATTTTATAAGAATAAAGTATCAAATCATCTTGGATTAATATAAAATTTTGTATATATGATTTAAAAGTAAAAAACTTTCAATCTAACAAATGAATTTATAAAACTTACATTTAATATAAAATTATTAAATGATGTAATATCCAATAAAAATTATACCGATGTTGTTTTGAATCTTTCTATATATATATATAATATTTTTATCTATATTATAATAAACAATGTATTAAATAGTGTAGTGGTGATTGTGGTGGTCTTTGCAACCTTAAAACTGAGGTTTGAAACTTACTATAGGCTTAACAATCCAAGCAGAGGCGCAGCAACCCAAGCAGGTGCACAAGGATAGAAGAGGTAGAACAACCAGGCCAAAATTCAAATAAAGAAGGTCCAATCACTCCAATTTTAGGATCCGGATTCTCTGAGTTTGGGGAAAGAAAGTTATGGTAACTTAATACATCTCAACCGTTAAATGTATAAAAATAAATCAGATTGTGACACGTGTACAATATATATTTTAACTTAAATGTACACGTGTCACAATCTGATCATTTATTACAAATCTAACGGTTGAAATGTATTAAGTTATCCTAACTTTCCCTCTACAAAGTCAGGGGATCCATTTCCCCAATTTTATGGTCATTCAATCCAACTTTCACCGGTTTCATCATCTTAACACCGCCTTGGTTACTCACTTTTAACCCATTTTCGTTTTAAAACACTGCTTTTACACGACTTTTTAATTTTGATGAACTACTAGTAAACATAACCTTGGCCGAGAGTGTTTAGTGTCAAACACTTTTGGCCAAATTAATATTAAGTTTCATCCCCTATCATATACTATTAGACTACTTTTTATTATTATATTAGAAATTAGTTTATATTTGAGATAGCGTGACATGTATACTTACATTAAATGTTTGATATGTATTGCATAAAAATCAATATCTTGATATACTTTATTTATAATATTATGTGGTTAATTGTTACTTCGTATGTTTGTTTTATATCAAGAGTATGCAGTGAGATAAATTTCATTCTTTTATATTTATTTTAAGTTAAAATAATTTTTAATTTTTATAATTTCACTTATTTTTCTTTTAGTTCCTATAACTTAAAATAGACTTTTTTAATTTTTATATTTATTTTTTTAATTCTTATAGTTTAAGATATATTTTTTAATCTTTGTTATTAAATTTTTTTAGTAATGTTGTATCTTTCGTGTAGATGTAATATATGTATTAATTCAACTTTGTACATATAATATCAAACTTATTTGTTGAAATTACTTTAAATTATATTTTTTAACATTTTGTGTCTTTTTTGTACATTCATATGGGATGTTCATTGTTAACGTATCATTTTTTTATCTTTACAAAATTGAAGACCTTTACCACATCAATATAAAATAAACAATGTTATAACAAAAAAAATGATAAAAACTAAAAGAATTTTAAAAAATCATAAGTATAGAGACTAAAAAGATTTATTTTAAATTATATAAGTAAAAATGATTGAGAAAAATAAATATAAAATTAAAAATATCTATTTTAAATTATAAAAATAAAAAATATTTTAACCTTTTATTTTATTTCTATTTAAATTGTACGTCATTTGCAAGTAAATATCAACTTGAAGTTGATTTTTGATGGCGAGGCCTAGCTAGGTTAGCTTTAATAGCTTTCGATACCATTCTCTAATACAGCGTGACATTCGAGCATATGGTTTTAATTTTATATGTTCATTTTATACTCAATTTATATTTTAACAACCTTTTAATTATCGTTTTATCTTATCTTTTCGTTAAAGTATGAAAATTAAGAAAGTTATTTATGTGAACTTTCATCGATTTGAGAAATTTTGTTTTGTGTGAATATATTGTATCTTTTATTTTATTTCTGTAATTTTTAATTGTTTTAATAATAAATACGTGATGAGTAAAGAATGTCGCAAACTCTCACCACAAATATGAATAAAAATATTACAATTAAATAATAACAAAATAACAATTTTATTTATTTTTAATTAAATAACGTCTAAAAAATAAATTTCACTCTATAATTATCTTCAGCAAAGTAATCTCTTCTTTTCTCAAATTTTTATCTATTTCTATTTTCTTCATTCTTTTTCTACAAATTTTCTTTCTCTATTTGTTTTTTCTGCCTAAACATTTACGAGTCTTACGTTTTGAGCCTAAAGTTTACAAGTTCTGAAAACGTACGTCACTTATAAAAAAATTAATAAAAAAATATAAAATAAAAAGTTATGTAAACAGGA